AGGGCGTTTCGGGTTTTTAGGGCTTTTAGGGTTCTTCTGGCTTTAGTGCTCAAGGTTTCTGACCGCAACTCTGTCTTTAGGGTTGAGGATTGCAGGGTTTCACAGTTAGGGTTTATAGGGTTTCCTAAACCGTAGATCCTGAACACTAAAACCCCTAAAGGTGACCTGAAAGCCCACACCAAGTAGAAAACACCAGCTCGCCTAAACCCCTGTAGACCTCTGGGCTTTAAGCTTTAGTTTAGGGGAATGCCCCAAACGAAGCCCTGCCCTGACCCTAAATGCGAAGCCCGAAACCCCATACTGCCCAAACTCCCAGGCACCATAAGCGGCCGCTTCTGGCTGCGCAAGGGGGTGGGCACTGGGCGAGCTGGCGCCGTACTCCTTAGCATGCTCCGGGGACTTGGGGGGGGGGGGGGGTGGGGGTTCGAGATTGATGGTTTCCCTAGACCCTACACCCTAAACTTAAACCCCTCTACACCCCCCCCTAAACCCTGCAGCCTCGTGGGTTTAGGGTCTATACGTAGAGCTTCGAGTTCCAAAGCCCGAAGTGAACAGCTCTTTGGTGTTTGTTGTTGTTTGCTTTGCTTGCTTCCGGGTGAGGGGTTAGGCCTTTGAAACGCAAACCAAGAGCCCTCTTAACCCGAAAAAAGGGTTTAGGGTTTAGGCTTTAGGGTTTAGGGTTTCGGGTTTAGGAGGAGGAGGGGGAGGAGGAGGGAGACCCCTAAACCCTAAACCGGCTCAGTCACGGTATCGTCTGCTCCTGGGTCTCCACCACGGGGACAGCCTAATCTCACATGCCAGGCCGAGGTTTAGGGTTCAGGGTTTGAGGTCTAGGGTTCAGAGGAGGCCCACTGCAAACGAGAGTGGGCGAGGGTGGGCTTCCCTTGCCGTTTAGGACCCCTAAAATGCTACGTCGGCATGTGCAGGGTTTCGCACCACGCTCTTGGATGTCACATCCGAGGGGATTCAAGGGGTTTGTGAAGTAGGGGTTTAGGGTTTAGGGTTTAGGGTTTAGGGTTTAGGGTTTAGGGTTTAGGGTTTAGGGTTTAGGGTTTAGGGTTTAGGGTTTAGGGTTTTAGGATTTCAGGTTCCGGTTTGGGTGTAGGGCTTGCGGCTTACGGGAATCCCCAAACCATAAGCCCTAGACCTTGAACCCAACAGCCCGAAAAGCCAGCCGAAACCCCAAACCCCCACACCCGAGTCCAAGCCCTAAACCCCAAATGCCTCACCCTGTGCCGGTGTCGGCGACAGTGGCGCTGTGGCGACCCAACCTCAGCTCTGGGTTTAGGGTTTGGGGCTTAATTTTCGGGCTTGGGGTTTGGGGTTTGGGGTTTGGGGTTTAGGAATGCTTGGGGTTTGGGGTTTAGGGTTTCGGGTTTGGAGTTTAGGGCTTGGGGTCCTTTTTGTTGGAACCTGTCAACATGCAGACCCGCAGATTTAGAGGATTTCGAATCGGCTCCCTGAGTATCCCGAAACCCAAACCCTAAACCCTGAACCCCAAACCGTAAACCTAAACCCTGAACCCCAAACCGTAAACCTAAACCCTAAACCCTGAACCCTGAACCCTAAACCCTAAACCCTAAACCCTAAACCCTGAACCTTTAACTGCGTTTCGCCGTCCCAGCAGCTGAACTCTGGCACCTCAGGCACCTCCGGAGCATGGGCGTCTGCTGACCTTGCAGGGCAGCAGGGTTTAGGGTTTAGGGTTTAGGGTTTAGGGTTTAGGGTTTGGGGTTTGGGGTTTGGGGTTTAGGGTTTGGGGTGCCATGGGTGTTAGGGACAACCCCTGACCCTAATGATGGACGAATTGCCCTAAACCCTCACCAATCCCCACCTAGACAAACCCGTGCACCCAAAAGCAAGGCTGGATAAATACCCGAGACCCTAAACGGCAATGACGAGGTACAGTAGGACAGGTTCCAGGTATAAAAGGTTTTCCAAACTCATGACACTCCAATCTCACGCCGTGCCTGCAAGTAAAACCTCATTTTTATACCCCAAACCCCACCAGCAGACCTTGAAGGGTTTCGGGCTTACAGTTTAGGGGGCACCGTAAACCCCAAAAACACCCTATAAAGCAGACTCTAGGCTTGTACCTCGGAGCCTTAAGGTTGTACCCTTGGACCCTTGGGCTTTGGGGAATTCTTACAGATCATTAAGCTAGCATAAGGGCCACAGTCGGAGTACATTGGGGGGAGCCTTTACAACCTTACGGGTACGAGTCTTAAACCCTAAACCCTAAACCCTAAACCCTAAACCCTAAACCCCCAAACCCCTAAACCCTAAACCCCTAAACCCTAAGCCTTAAAGAGCAGACATGGCGCGGAGGCGGTGCTCGAGTCGCCGGGCTTTTCGGGCACAGCAGCAGCCGGCGCGGCATGCTCATTCTGGGGGATCCCAGACCTTCGGGCACTCCGAGAAACTCCGACGCGACCGCCTGGGTTTAGGATTGCGTTTATAGGTTTTGAATGTGGAGCACCTGGGAAAAAACCTGCACCCCAAACCCTAAACCCTATTGGGGTCGCAAGGTGGCTGCCTAGAAGCCTTGATCCCAGAAGCCTAGGCCGCTGAGTTTGAGCCTGCGAGCTGAAAGTGTCGACAGATGAGAGGGTTCTAAGGTTTAGGAGTTTAGGGTTTAGGGTTTGGGGTTTAGGGTTTCGGGTGCTGGGGCTTAGGGCCTGGTACCAGTACTTAGGGTTTTGGGGTTTAGGGCCTAGAAGGTTTGAAGGGGTTAGGGTCAAATAAGAGGAAAGGATTCGGATCTAGGTTGAACTGTAAACTAAAAACAGAAGGGTGAACCAGATCATAGGGTCTGCGTCATCAGTCCAGTCCACATCTGCAGCTTAGGGTTGAGTTCAAGTATGGGGGCATTCAAACAGTGCGTAAGCTTTAACAAGAAGTGGCCATCACCATATCGAACCCTAAACCCTAGTCCCTAGATCCTAAACCCTGAACTCCCTGGACCATAAGGTTTTTTGTAGAACTTAAGTTAAGGCCCAAGTATATGTGAGAAGGGTACATGGCCCCTCTGTGCCTCCTAAACACCTGACGCCTACAGACGCGTGACAAGCTTTTGCGAAAAGTTGCTTGCATGGACAAGAGGGCACATTGGCTACCCGAAGTTGGGGAGATACGCTCATTGCAACCTGGCTTGCGACAAAGCTCACTTCACCTTCATGGAAACCCCAGGCCCGCCTGAACCCCAAAAGCCCAAACCCGAAGCCCCTGAACTCAAACCCTACATGCGAAATAGATAAATCGATTTACCCTCCAAACCCTGCATGCTAAGTAGATTTACCACAAAAACCCTCCCTAAACCCTTAACCCCCTGAACCCCCTAAACCCCCTAAACCCTAAACCCTAAACCCTCAACCCTAAACCCTAAACCCTAAACCCCAAAGCACGCAAAGCCCAGGAGTCTAGCAGCCTCCCGAGCTTTGGAGGCCACCCGCTCCATCTCGTCCTGTAGGATTCGGGCTCTTGCTGGGGTGGATTGGGTTTAGGGTTTCGGGTTTAGGGTTCAGGATTTAGGGTCTAGTTTCTAGCGATTAAAGTTTACGTTCTAGGGTTTAGGGCTTAGAGTCTAGGGTCTAGGGTCTAGGGGGCATTTGAGGCTTTGCAATCCTGAGCTTTAGCTCTTTCGGCTGTATTAAAAACTTTAACTACCCCCCCCCCCCCTGGCAACCCCGACCCAAAACCCTGACTAAACCCCCAACCCCCAAACGATAAGGGTTTACTAGCTCATGGGGATTAGAAGACTTAAATTTCTATTCCTTCTTCAGTTTCAGTACCCTTGTGACAAAGCTTAGGGTTTTTGTGGATGGGTGTTTTGCCTTCGTGGCTTCTGGCTCTGCGCTGGTGGCGAATAGGGTTTAGGGTTTAGGGGTGGACGGGGCTGAATTGTCTGGGGTCTCATATCGAGCCCGTATTAACAGTCTAGGCCGCCCCGCACAAAGTCACAGAATTTCCTCTCCATCCCTGAACCCTAAACCTTGAACTTTGAACCTTTATTAAGCCCTAAACCGTAAACCCTAACCCCAAAAATTGAACTTTGAACCCTAAGCCCCAAGCACTCTTGTGAGGGTGTAGGTAGGGCTTTGGAAGTTTCAGGACCCTAAACGCTAAACCCTAGATTCTAAACCCTAAACCCTAAACCCTAAACCCTAAACCCTAAACCCTAAACCCTAAACCCTAAACCCTAAACCCTAAACCCTAAACCCTAAACCCTAAACCCTAAACCCTAAACCCTAAACCCTGACCCTCAAGAATCAAGTCAGGGCTCCTAAGAGAAACCGCTTTTTGTCAAACCACTAACCCGAAACTGAAAACACGCCTCCGCCTGTGTAAGCCCCCTTAGAGATCCCCCATATTGCAAACCCTAAATAAACTCATCTGGGTATAAACCCGAAACTCTAAACCTTAAAGCCAAGACCCTGAACCATAAAGCCTAGACCCTATAAGCCCTAGACCCTGAACCCTAAACCAAAAAAGCCCTGAACCCTATAGACCCTAAACCCTATAAACCCTAAACCCTGATGAAGAGAAGATTGAAAACCTAACCCCAAACCCTAAACCCTAAACCGAATAAGCCCCAAACCTATAAGCCCTAAGCCCTGATAAAGAGAAGTTGCAACCCTAAACCCTATGAACCCTGAACCCTAGTAACCCTAAACCCTAAACCCTAAACCCTGAAAAAGAATGATGAAGAGAAGTTTCCCCTCCCTAAACCCAAAACCCTAAACCCTAAACTAACCCTAAACCCTAAACCCTACACCCTAAACCCTAAACCCTAAACCCTAAACCCTAAACCCTAAACCCTAAACCCTAAACCCTAAACCCTAAACCCTAAACCCTAAACCCTAAACAACAAACCCTAACCCTAAACCCTGAACCCCGCCTCTTGAAGGAGAAGCCATCGCTTGGAGCCGTGGATGAGCACATCGAAGACTTGGTCGGCTTGTCAGTTTAGAGTTGGTTTAGGGTTTAGGGTTTAGGGCTTAGGGTGTAGGGTTTAGGTTTAGGTTTAGGAATAAAGTTCTGGGGCTGCCCTGTATGATGATCCTTTAAAGTCTCTGAAACACCCCTTGCAACCCAATGTGCCCCTAAACCCCCCTCAACCCTCAACCCTGAACCCTCAACCCCGAACCCTTGAGCTGGGTTTTCCGAGGCCAGCACATGGCAATCCGTTCTCAGGACGGAGGTTGGCGCCCGAGCCGGATGGGCCAAAGGTGAAGTACCGGTAGGACCTGCTATTCGGACTTAGGGGTTTACAGGGGTTTAGGGTTTAGGGTTTAGGGTTTAGGGTTTAGGGTTTAGGGTTTAGGGTTTTTTCCGGCATCGGGTTTCGGGCTTAATCCGAGGGGGCTTTGCTGTTGTAAGCCTACGTACTAAACCTTGAACCCTCAATCCTAAACCCTTATGCCCTCATAGCCCTGAAGCGTAGGGGCCTCGGGGTTTTGGGCTTAGGGGCGCATGGAGGCTACGCTGAAGCCTTGAAATCCTCAACCATGAAAACAACCCTGAGGAATAGCCCTGGGCCCCACCTATGAACTGAAGAAAACCGTCACCCTCGACACCCTGGCGCCCCTATACACCCTGGGACACTACCACCTAAAGCCAGAATGGGTTGAGAATTTTGGGTGCAAGGTTTAGGGTGAAGGGTGTAATGCCTTGGGTTTGAAACGCATCAAGGGAGTCAAACTTGGACCCCTTGAGGACCCTTAAGAGGTTCTCTTCATTTACTCCGAATATGGCCCGTATATTCCTTTAGAGGATATTGAAAAAAGGGTCCCCAAACCCAAGGGTACAACCTGAGGGGTCCGAGGTTGAGTCCCATGACCGGAAGTATCCGCAAGCCCCTCCCAACGCTAAAGTCACAGAAGTCGCTAGGCGTCTGACAGCCGCCCCTGATTGCGCTTCCACCGTTCGGCACCTGGCGCGCTGGGAAGATGTCTTGGGAGAACTGGGCCAAACAGACGGACTTGTAGATTAGGGCTTGGGGTTTCGGTTTGGGGTTCAGGGTTTCAACGAATTCCGGTTCAGCTCATGATTTAGGGCAACCTAGGGGCATTTGTCTTCTGAACCCTGAACTCTAAACCCTAAACCTAAACCCTGAACCCTGAACCCTAAACCCTAACCCCTGAACCTTAAACCCTAAACCCTAAACCCTAAATCCCTGAAGAAGGCGCGGAGGCCGAGCCTTTGCCGATGACGGCCTTGAGCTCGTCGCCAGCAGCCTCACGACAGGCAAGCTGGACACACAAGCGCGATGCCCGAGCCGCAAAATCCCACTTACAAGCCCGAAGTGTAGAGTTTAGGGTTTAGGACATAAGTCGTCTTAGGGCTGAAGGAATTTAGCAAGTAGGTTCTCACTCAGGCTTCAAGTGCAAGAACCCAACTTGGGGACCTCAAACCGCGTTTTGAAACCTCCTTAGTTCCCTGAGCCCTTAAGGAAGACTGTAACAGCACTGATCTAGGTCCAAAGAAGATGGCCCCCCCCCCCCAAAGAGATACCAGCAGGGGCAACCAGGTAAGCATTACGCGCACTGCATCCCGAAGGGCCCCGAAACTCCTCGACTCCGACTTCCTGCACATTCTTTTTTTGGGTTTCGGGTTCAGGGTTTACTACGGGGGGGGGGGGGGGGGGGGGGGGAGGCGGGGTCCGTTAGGGTCACAAGAAAGTGTTCAGGGTTAGGATGGGGTTAGGCAGGAAGAATACAACAACGACAGAGGCTTGCCTAGAGTACAGGGTGCCGCAAACAAGGACAAGCCCGATCCAGTTCATACCGCACCCTGAACCCGAAACCCCTCGTGTGTGCAACAGCAAACCTCCAGGAGGTTGCGACGGAACTCCGCCTGATGATCAGCTGACTTTGGGTTTCGGGCACTGAAGCATAAGCCCTCAACCCAAGGGGTTCTAGTAGCTGAGGGTTGCTGGTCTGCGTCTAACATCGAACCATGGTGAATGTAAAGTACGAGCAAGAGACGGCTTAGGGCCTCCGAGGGTTCCGGGGCTAGAGGCTTCGGAAATCAGGGCTCTAAGGTCTCTAAAGTCTGAGCCCGCAGCAATGTACCTCCTCCCCCCATGCTATACATTCGTCGTGAAGACTAGACGTTCAAAATCCTAGCTTAGGGTTTTCGGTATCCAAAAAACCCAACCCTAAGCCCTACAAGCTACTCCTCAAACCCGAAACTGTGCAAACGTCAAAGCTGCGAAGGCTCAAAACCCTAACCCCCAAGCTGCCAAACCCTAAACCCTAGGATTAAGGCATAAGATCAAACCCTAAACCCTAAACCCTAAACCCTAAAACACTAAAGCCCTAAAACCCTAAAACCCTAAAAATCTAGAACCTACACCAGGGCCCCGGTGCAGATCCTGAGCCGCGGACCATGTGCGGCAAGGCATTCTCGATCTTCCTCGGCTGCGGAATCTTAGGGTTTAGGGTTTAGGGTTTAGGGTTTAGGGCTTAGGGTTTAGGGTTTAGGGCTTAGGGCTTAAAACTGGAATATTCCCCCTTATACGAACAATGCTGAATAGGGATTCTTGTTCCCCCCTAATCCGAGCACCTGTTTAATTGGGGGGGGGGGGGGGGGGGCGGCCCCGCCAGAATAAGAAAGGCAGGGCGCAGCAACAAAAGGACCATGGCAATGTCATGATTCTCTTTTGAAAACAATAGCCCTGAGGTGCTGTAGCGTCGCAGCTCAGCAAGCAAAACAAGAAGCCTGCCGACAAATTTTGGAACCCCCCGAAAAATTCTTTAAATGTGGTGGTATTGGCCCATACCAAAACCCCCATAATGGAAAGCAGTCTTCCGGCGGGCTTCTCGACGAAAAAAACTCTCTAAAGGGGGAGGTATTAATTTAACAGGTGCTCGGATTGTCATAATCCCCAGCCTGGGAGTCTATGGTTCAGGGGTTAGGGTCTAGGGCTTCGGGTTTAAGGCTTACGGTTTTGGGTGTTTCGGGGTTCTAGGTGAGCCGCCGACATCTCCAAGCAAAGCTCGGAGAAAGTTCCCCCTAGAACCCTAAACCATAAACCCCTAAACCCCTAAACCCTAACCCCGCCCTCCGCACCCCCCCCCCCCCCCCACCAAAAGGCGAGCGTCTTGAAGATGCGCAACTGCTCCAGCTCTGTGAGGTTGTGCACCTCCGGGGAGCGCGAACCTAAACCTTAAAACCCTTTGGACCCCTGTAGATCCTGTATGAACCGCCGTGACCCTAAATGATGCTGTATGACCCTATATGACCGAATGTGACCAAATAGGACCCCATAAAGCCCTATGAGCTCTGTAGCCCTATAAGCCCTATAAGCCCTAAGCCCACAACAGCAAAGGCTTCGCAAAAAACAAACTCAGCCTGAGGCTCCTAAACTTCAAGACCCTCAACATCAAACTAGACCCTAAACTTGACCAACGCGCACACAGAATAGGAAAGAACCTCGGTTTACCCTAAACCCTAAGCCCTAAACCCTAAGCCCTAAGCCCTAAACATCCCTAAACCCTTCTTGCTGGTCCAAGGAGGCACCATGCTCTGGGCATCTACCGTCTGCTCGCAGTGCTCCTGGGTGGCGGGGGGAGGCGCATCGGAACCCCATTCTCCCCGTTTAGGGTTTAGGTTTAGGGTTTAGGGTTTAGGGTTTAGGGTTTAGGGTTTAGGGTTTAGGGTTTAGGGTTTAGGGTTTAGGGATTAGGGGCCGACGCCTTGAAGCAACGTACTTACTCTTCGCTGGCGTCATGGGGAAGTAGAGTTCTCAACTGACTCGGTCACTTGAAGGGTTATCTAGGGGGATATTCTAGACAAGGCCCTCAACCCTAAACCCTAAAGAACTACTACGAACCACCGAGCCTGGGGGTTTAAAGCTTCAGTTGCTTGATCGACCCTAAACAAAACTAGGTTGGCCCTAGAAGCCCTGTGAAAAATATTCTTGAATAGGGTCCTCTTAAACCCAATAAGGGAAAATATAAAATATTTCAAGGGCCTACCTAGAAAAGACTCAACCCAAGATGGGCAGTCCGCCTGCGTTAAAGACAGCTTCAAGGGTTTAGGGTTTAGGGTCTAGGGTCTAGGGTCTAGGGTTTAGGGTTTAGGGTTTCAAGGGTCTTTTTGTTGCGGTTCAAGGCTGGGGCCGGCCTAAGTTGCTGAATTTTGAGATCCCTGAAGCGCTTAAACCCTAGAACCTGAGACCCTAAACCCTATTGGAAAACTACTGTTGCCACCGAGTTAGTACGGAGGTCCACTGTTGTGCAAAAAGCTTCCCAAGATGATTCTGCAAGCCCCTAAACCAAAAACCCTAGACCCAGCAGAAAATTGGCCTTCGGGCCCCCTTCGTCGTAAGGTGCTGCTTGGCAAAAATACGAAACTCCGAACCCTAAACCCTAAATCCCTCAACCCCAAACTCCCTGAACTCCCCAAGATCCCTAACAAATCCCTGAGCCCCTCAACCATCCCCCCCAATCAAAGGCCACGGGGCCGTGTTTTGGCCAGGCAGTTTTGGCTTCGCGGGCGTTCCTCCGAGGGCAGCTGAGGGCGGCGAGGAGGACAACAGGAGATCTGAGGGTCGGTTTAGGGTTTAGGGTTTAGGGTTTAGGGTTTAGGGTTTAGGGTTTAGGGTTTAGGGTTTAGGGTTTAGGGTTTAAGGTTTAGGGTTTAGGGTAAGCTTCCTTCGCTTGGTTCTTGTTAAGGAGCACACCTTAAGCTACCAGAAAAAGGATACTAATACCATAGGATCCGATACACAAACCTATCACGGCAACTTCTTTTTGTTCACGAGAACCCAGCTTGTGAGGATGCCCAAAGCCCTAAACCCTATGAGGCCTTAAACCCGAAGCGAGAGCAGGCACCAAGCTCTCCCCCAAAATAGGGCATGGGGGGGAATCTCCGAAAACCACAACAAAAAGTTTAGGGTTCAGGGTTCAGGAATTAGGGTTCAAGGCTGTACCCGAACACCTCGAAAACCCTTCATAGGGTACCGGGCGGGGGGAGTAGGAGGGATTGGTGGTTCTGAGGCCGAGCGTGCGTGTTCGGCTGCATTACTTCAATGCTGAGGCAATGGACTCTGCCTGTGCTTCTGACAGGCCAAGCATGGATTATGCTGATATGACTATCTGGTGTGATGATGAACTATCTGAATATTGCGCAACAAAACTGCGTAAAATCCGAAAAGCCCCACAAAGCACCAAAACGCCAAACAAGCCAAGCCCCACAAAGCAAGCCTCACGAGAGCAACCCTGCACCATACCCTTCTTGCCCTTTTTTTTGCCTACCCCATACCAAACAAAACTAAATAAACCCTAACAGCCCAAAGCCACTCCCCTAAGCTCTTAGCCCTGAAACCCCAACAACCCCGGACCACCCAAAAGCCCTGGTGACATTTCACACCCTGCAAGTACCTTAGTTGTCCAGTACCTAGGGGAAAAGGCTTTAACAAAAACTAAGCCCTAAACCCTATAAACCCTAAACCCTGCTACTACTAAGGCACGGCTCCGTGGAAGCAGTTGACCACGTAGCGCGAGAAGGGAATCATCTCTGGCTCCTCTGAAAGGGAGTGACGACGAGTTTGGGCGTTATTTAGGGTGGTTGAAAAAAAGGTTTAGGGAAACTTGAGGGTTTTTGTTCGGGTTTAGGATTTGGCTCTATCGGGTTGAAACGGTTTCGGGCATAAAGGTTTTTGAGGAATCTTGTTGGCTGTCTTGTCTAGCTCATTGTGTTGTCAATGCACTGCATTTTTTGATTGTGGTGAAAATGCTGAGGGCTCGTCGTAGATATGCATGTTATGCTCAGTGGCCCTAAAATGCTTGCTACTATTCGTAGCATTACGAGTATACAATGACATTGTTGCCAACCCTGAAAACTAAACCCTAAACCCTCACCCCTAAACCCTAAACCCTTCTTCGGGCCTAAGCCCTAAACACCAAAGCTGAGGCCCACGAGCCCCAGCAATCTCATGCGAACCCCTCTCCGGGCCTCCATCCAAAACCCCAAGCCTTGACGCTCAGGCTTAGGGTTTAGGGTTTTTTTTACTGGAATCACACTGTTGCACGAGCAATTTGCCTTCCAGGGGTGAAACATCAGCACCTGTACTCGCTGTACATCTCCTTACCACCATCCTCCTCCGCACCGTCTGGCTCTCCTCCACGTCCTTCACCAGGTGGAGACGATGATGATGATGATGATGATGGTGGCGGTATTGGCTTCATGCAGAGGTTGCAAGAAACAGAGGAGGAGCGAGTGCAGTTCTTGGCGAGGAGAGCGTGGAGACATGGGGGTGGGGGCTGTAAGTTCATCGGTAAAGGGCTGCAAGAAGAATGGTGGCGCGAGGTCTTAATCTTCAACATCGTCGCTTTGGAGAGGAGCCAGCGGTAGGGAGAGGAGTGCCCACAAACAGACCGCTGAGGAGGGCGGCGGAGGCAAGGACGGAAACGGTGCAGTATGTGCAAAGACAACTTTTTAGCCGTTGGGACTATGCCATTCACAAAGGGTACTTGACCATGCCAAGGTGGACGCAAGTGGTGGAGGAGGTTCGTCGTCGACTTCGGCCAATGACCTGGTTGCATGGCCTATTACTGAACGGCCCTGTGGCGCGTCCAGAGTTCCTCTCCTTCTCCTCGAGCAGCCTCTTGTTCTTGTTCTTGTCCTTCTCTTCTTCTTGGCGGTTTTGTCGGAGGACTCAAAGTCTGACTCGGGAGGGGCCGCAGCGGCCGCCATCGGAGTGGCCCCAGCGACCGGAGCGGCCTCAGCAGCTTGGGCAGCCTGAAAGGCCAGGGCTGGCCCAGCAACTTTGGCCATTGCAGCCTGAAAGATCAGGGACAAAGACACCAAACCATAATCAAAAGAGAAAGGATTGCGCAACGAAACATTTACCCGTGAATGATGGTAACCCCAGCCTGCTGCTCGTCAAGCAAGCGCGCCTTTGCCTGGTGTTTCATGGCCTCGATTTGGTTGCCCGCAGCACAGGGGGCTGTTTCAAGTCGCAGCGCATCCTGGCGTTCCTTCTCACGCCGAGACTGTGCTCTGCATAGATTCTCACTCCAGCGACCCTCACCACAAATACCCGAAGGTATTTTTTTGAATATGAAGAATAAAGATTTTCCGAGAAGGGCGGGTTGCAGGATGTCTTCGGCCATGCTGAGAACGGCCCTGGCTTCCTGGAGCCGACAACTTCGTGAGTCAGCAGAATTCAAAACAGTTTTACTCATAAATATTCATCGTCGTCGAGCCACAACCCGGGCTCACAAACAGGAAGGACCAGGCGGAGCGGAAGGACCAGGTTGAGCGGAAGTATCAGGCTGGACGGAAGGACCAGGACCAGGAACACGGTCCCACGACGCCAGCATGGCCGCAGCCTGGGAGCGGAGCTGCATCACTCTAATGCTGCGGCAGGGTTAAAAGCAGCTGGGCGTGGAGCAGGAGCAGTGGCCGGGGCTGGTGTTGGTGGAGCCACCACAGCAGGCGGGGAAGAAGCTGGGCGCTGCGCGTGCCATCACGGTCACGTCCCTCACCATCACGCCCTTCACGATCGCAGCACGCCCGATCACGTAGTCCACCAACGTGTGTCACTTCACGGTAAACACAATCGCAAGGAAACACGCCACCAGAGGTAGGGCATCAGAACGACCACCAAACGCCCAAGATGATCAGGCCACCCATCGAGAGCTTCGCTACAATTTGATGTCATCACGCTAACGAAGTCATCAACTTCCCCCCAAGTGCCCAGCTACCACCTCAACGCAGCCTGCCACTTCAAGCCATGTTGAAAGAGACCCTGCCCAAGTCACCCAATCCAAAGCGACCAATCCCCAGTCCACACTACAGGCGATGGCTGCCTGTGGTTAAACACTGTCGGGGTAGAAGTGCCCAAGCGGCGGCGTCCACTGATCAAGTCCTGCTCCTCCCTCCACCACGTCAGCGAGCGTCACCGGAGCATACAGGCAGTGATCCCTGGCGAATCCCCCTAAGCTGAAGCTGGAGCCGAAGAATTTTGGTGGACCACCTCTCAACTTTTTCGGAGTGCACCCACAGCTGAACGTATTCCATTCCACCCACGTTTCATCCCTTCTCCCGAACGAAACGCCCCTCTACTCCCCTCCATGTTGAAGTTCACCCCCAGGATACGAACCACCGAACCGGTGTTCACGGAGACACCTGCGATGCTAAAGTTCCGACGCCGCCGCAAAAGGACGATCCGGCCACAGCCGTTTTCTCCGGTGCAAGAGCGAGGCCATGTGCAGCGATCTCGTCAATGAGTAGTACTGCGGTTTTCTACTAAGCACAGGTGGCACCCAAAACCCAACTCCATCAAAGCTTCTCGCAAAACATGCCGGATCAGCCTTGCCAACATTGCCTTAATCTTTTCCGCCCTGGCAGCTTCCCGGCGCAGGAGGTGTGATCATCTTCGCTGGATGCACCAGCGCCCCCGCCTCCGAAGAGGGAGCCTCCACCACCACCTCCTGTCGAGCAATCACCACCGAAGAGGCTGCCTCCTGCGGACCCACCACCGCGGTTTAGGGTTTAGGGTTTAGGGCTTAGGGCTTAGGGTTTAGGGTTTAAGCTTAAAGTTCCGGATTGCGGTTTAGGGTGTTACAGGCCCTACACCTCTCGACCCTGCGTCAGCGGGTGCTATGCGCCTCCATGTGGAGCTGGTTTCCAACCAGGCGAGCACGAGCCTTGTCCTGGGGCCAGTACCTCAACGTGTTTATGGGGCTTAGCAAAGGGTACCACTGAGCTGCTGCGAGGTTGTTTTAACCTGGGCTTGGCGCTTTGGGAATTAGGGTCCTAGGGTTTAGGGTCTTAGGGCTTCTGGTCAACGGTTTGGGGGGGGGGTTTGGAGTTTGGGGCTGGGGTTTGAGTTTGGGGTCTTGGGGTTTGGAGTTTGGGGCTTAGCACGCTGGGTAGCACCGCCCCACAAAGCCACGCGAGCCTGGTAACCCCAACCCCAGCCCCCGAACCCTAACCCCAACCGTCATTTTCAAGATAACCCGAAACCCTAAACCCTAACCCTAAACCCTCAACCGTAAGCCCTAAACCTTCAACCCTGAGCCCTAAAGCCTCATCCGCGAGCGGAGGTTCAGAGTTTCGGCGGTGTCTGAGGCAGCGGCTCGATACGAAACTCCTTCTCCAAGTACCTGGGTTTAGGCATGAAGCCTTACCGGCTCCATAAACCTAAATGGAGTTTAGGGTCTGGGCATGAAGGCATACTTGGGCCTTAAAGTACTTCATAATATATACATATATGGCTGTACTTATGTTTACTTATTTAGATTTAACTCATGACTTTGTGCAAGGTATCTAAGTACGCGGACCCTCTCCAAGCCCTACACCCCACAATGCTAAACCCTCAAAAGGCCACAGCTACTACCCTAACCCCCTAACCTCTCAAGCCCCCATTAAAAGAAACAAACAAAAGTGCTAACAACACTAAACTAGAACTTAAAAACTGTATAACACTCTCTCACCGAAAGCAATATACCCTAAGGACCCGACATACTCCCCTGAACCGAATGCCCTTAGAAGGGACCCCAATAAGCGTACCCCTTTTTTCGGAAACCCCCTGTACAAAACCCAAACAACCCTAAACCCTAAACCCTAAACCCTAAACCCTAAACCCTAAACCCTAAACCCTAAACCCTAAACCCTAAACCCTAAACCCTAAATGTAAACTGCCTGCGCTTCTGGGCGAGCGGCGGGTCCTCCATCAGCCGGGTGGCCGTCCAATGCCGGCGCACCTGTCCGGGCTGGAGGTTGGGAGTCAACCCTAAACCGTCTGGGTCTAGGGTTTAAGGTTTAGGGTTTAGGGTTTAGGGTTTAGGGTTTAGGGTTTAGGGTTTAGGGTTTAGGGTTTAGGGTTTAGGGTTTAGGGTTAGGGCTTAGGGTTTAGGGTTTAGAGGAGTCAACCCTAAACCGTCTGGGTTTAGGTTTTGGGGGTGGTTTAGATTATCATAGGGTTTAGTCGACTTAATGTTTAGGGGTTCAGAGACGATTCCCAAACCTCACGAGCTTCTGAAGGCCCCCAAAAACCAACGCATACCCAGTATACAGGGTATATAGGGTTTCTTGGGGTTGCCGGCACCTAGGGATTGGCCCTTTCAACACTCTCCAGAAACCTAAGCAAGAGAGAAAACCGACCAACGTCCCTGAAAACCCTAGACCCTCAACCCCGAGACCTTAGGGGGCACTTTTGGGCTACCTCTTGGCCTGAATCCTAAAAGCCCTAGTAACCCTGAACCCTTGAGGCCGTAAACCCAAGCCCTAAACCCGAGACCTAAACCACAATTTAACCCCAAGCCCTAACCCTAACCCCCCTCCCCGGCCCCTCCCCGCCTTTTTGGGGTTTTTAGGGCTGGCAGTTGGGAATCTCTTTGGTAGCCCGCCTCGTCCCAAGCGCCTGGTCCGAACCTCAGTCTCAGAAGCTCTGAGATTTCTGGGGTTGAGGATTTAGGGTTTGGGGCTCTGGGGTTCAGGGTTTATGGTTGAGGGGTTTTCTGGGGTTCCGGGTTCGCGTTTACTCAAGGGCAGGGGACTCAAAAACATTGAATGAAAGTCGGTTTTTGTTGCTCTTACTTTTTTTAATTTTTTTTTTTTTTGGGGGGGGGGGGGGGGGGGGGGGGGGGGGGGGGGTGCGGAGTGCCTCTGGCAAATCCGGGTTTGGGGTTCTCAGCCTTCAGTGTGGCGCTTAGGGTTTTCTTAGGGTGTAGGGTTATGACGTTACATAAATTTTTGTAATTGATCCGCGAACCCCAAAAGGGCAAGCTCTGGAGATAGCCTTACACCGTAAACCCGAAATCCTACAGAAACCCTACGCTCTACACCTCAAGGGCTGAAACTAAACCCCACACCAAGCCCCAAAACCCCACACCCTAAGCCCTAAACCCCAAACCCCAAACCCCAAACCCTAAACCCTAAACCCTAAACCCTAACCCCTAACCCCTAAACCCTACCTAAACCCCAAACCCTCTGAGAACCCGGCAGGCTTGTGGCGTTGGTGATGAGCATCGGCTCCTTGAAGTTGATGTCCTGCGCGGCTTAGGGTTTAGGGTTTAGGGTTTGGGGTTTAGGGTTTAGGGTTTAGGGTTTAGGGTTTAGGGTTTGGGCTTTAGGGGTGGGGATTGTTAGGGAGGAGTCTCTGGCATGGAAGGTTTAGTGCTTCTACTGGCCGTTTGCTTGAGGGGTTGGAAGGCCCGGAGACGTTCCTTGTGCGTCGCATGCGAGTTTGGCCAGCCAAGTGAACATTTCTACTTTTCCAAAAGGGACCGTTAGACTGCCCGATAAATCCTCTTCTGAACCAAAAGTATGTCGGTTTCCCAGAAGGACCTTCAGATCAAACCCCTCCAAATGTCGACACGGTCCCCCGCCTTCCCCTCTTCCAAGCGCTTGGCCAGGTCTACCGCGGTCATCTTCTTGACCTAAACCCTAAACCCTAAACCCTGAACCCTAAACGCCCAAATCTCCCCCCAAATTTGGGATGCTAGAGGGCGTGTGAAAGGGCCGAAGGGTTTTGATCTCAAGGCGTTTTACTGGCTTGACAGTAGAAAGAAACTGTACATGAAGTTCAGGGTTGATACAAACGGCTTCTTGGTTTCAGGGTAACTAAACCCTAAACTCAAAACCCTTAACCCTTAAGCGGCGTACAGGTTGAAGGAGTCTTGAAGGTTTTACGGGCCTGTAGACTTCTATGGGCTGAGGTTAGCTTAGCTGGTCCCAAGGGCTTATAGGCGCCCTAAACCCTAAACCCTAAACCACACCCTGAACCCCAGAAGGTATCGTAATCCCCTCCCCCAAATACTAAATCTGCCCCCCCCCCCAAATCTGAAATTCGCCTGGGCCCGAAAAATGTTTAAAATTAGGGGGGGTTCTAAACCCTAAAACCTGAATTTTCCGAAGCCTAGTACACCCAAAGTCAAAGGCGAGACAGTCGCAGCCTTCAGCCCTAAACCCCGAAACCCGAATGGCTCGACTCGAGGACGAAGGCCCTGAACCCCTCCCCCCAAATTCTCAAACAGGTTTAGTATTAGGCTGGGTGCCGGCAGGGTCGGGAAAAATCATAATTAAAGTTAGGTGGGTTTTTGTATTAGGGGGAGGGGATTAACCTTAAAACGCTGAGGGAGCCTTAGTCAGCCTTAGGGAGTAGTGGGGAGTATTTTCGGGAACCTTGAGTTACATTTGCTAACCCCCCCCCTTCAGCACCTATACAACCTGAAGTCCAATCCAGATCGTAGCAGCCCTGTGCAGAATGGGGTTTCGCGTTGAGAGCCCAGCTTTTGGTTCGCAAGCCCCAAGCCCCAAACCCCAAACCCTAAGCCCCAAACCCCAAACCCTAAACCCTAAACCCCAAGGTTCTCCTATACACTAGCCCCCCCTCCCCCGAACAAAAACGAAAAAAACAGCAACACAAGCCAGGCAGCCTGGCCCTGCACCTACGACCCGCTGCCCAGTAACCTAGGCTTAATAAGCGTGCCCTTTTTTGCTTAAAGGGGTTTATAAGGAAACCCTAACCCCAAAAAGGGAA